ATCTCATGGCTTAGAGACTGAAAGGAACCGGCTTTTAAACAAAGGATTCTCCCAGGTCGTTATAGACACTATGCTGAAGGCGCGTAAGCATTCCACTTCGGCCACTTATTATAGAGTGTGGGAAGTTTTCTCCGACTGGGCCCTTCACAGAAATATTGATATTCAAGATCCTTCCTCCTCTAATATTTTGGTGTTCCTGCAGTCTGGGCTTGCTAAAGGGCTGAGCTATAACACTCTCAAGGTGCACGTCTCAGCTTTGTCTGCTCTAACCAATCATCGATGGGCACTGGACTCAGATGTCATCAGATTCATCAAAGGAGTCCTTCAGATAAAGCCTCCTATTAAACCATTTGTTCCATCCTGGAATCTCCCTTTGATCTTGAATGCTTTAAAGCAGGAACCTTTTAGTCTGCTTCTCTTTCCCTCCCTGGTTTATTGCTTGGGTATTACCCAATGTTGTGCTGCCATGGATATGGCCAGGAAAATTGAAAATTTATTCATACTTACCGTAATTTTCTTTTCCTGGTCATATGCCATGGCAGCACAAGGGTCCCACCCGGGGCTATTGCTGGAAAACGTGACTGGGGAAGGAGGGGTAGGAGGTGGTACTTATACGGCTTAATAATTATTCCTGTCCAATGGGGATAGGAAGGAGCTACCCAATGTTGTGCTGCCATGGCATATGACCACGAAAAGAAAATTACGGTAAGTATGAATACATTTTCCCTTTTATTTACTGCATATGCTCGTTATTTTCCTTTTCCTAGCTATCTATTAACAAATACCTTTGCATCCTATGGTTCACCAGAAACAATTATGAATGTCAATTATTAAGAGATGTGTTGTATGACTTTTATTAACCAATTAATCATGAATGATAACAAAATAACCCAAAACTAGAAGTTGGGCAGAAATGTCTAAGGCTGAATAACAGATTAATACTCGAACATTCATAATAACCATGTGAATATGTGAATATTTCCCTAATTTCACCAATACTAATTTGATATCTGTTTCTACAAATTTGTGTGCTGTGATATGTTCTTTTCTTTAGAACATGACTGCAATACTACAATTTTCTATAACATCTGTTGCAATACAAACTATGCATCCCAAATGGCTTTAAACTTTTTGGAGCTCATTCACCAGCATCTGCCAGTTTAGACTCTCAACATCAGCACACTTCAACATTTCGATAAACTATTCTTTACATCTATAAAGGAGGTTTTCAAGTAAAATGTATTTATCTATTCAGATGGAAAGCTATACATTAGTTATGGAAGGGACATTCTTACTGGCACTTTCATCTCTTAAAACACTGAAGGGCCTTCGCTTTAGTGTTTGGTTTATTATTTACAGAGGAAGTCACTGGGAAGACTTTTTTCAAGAGAGCTGCAGTTGGGAAGTATAAGTTCCTTCTTCATTCTCAAGGTGTTTTATAGGTTTTTCAGTTTGTTTGTTTGTTTGTTTGTTCTTTCACTCTCATCTCTCCCCCTGAGTATCCAAACCTCACTCTCACTTTAGAACAGAGAAGACAAAAAGTAAAGAATACAAAAAGGATGTATCATCTCCCAACTAATATGCAATATATGCATTTTGCCTCTGGACCACTTTTTTTTGGTGGGATCTGTCTGGTATGCAATGGTCCTAGGTTCTCTTTGTAATAGCACAACATGATCTAAAACCAGCTGAGCAGGGATCCACCAGAGGGAAAACTACTTGAGCTGTTTTCTGTTCTCAGTGTTCTCTTGCATCATTTATTTTTGCTCTCCCCAAGATTAAAGGGTAATCCAGATGTGGACCCATTGCTCATGGTGCTTAGACAGGTATCTGCTAAACGTCACTGATGAGGCCTAGGGAGGCTGAAACAATCATCAGGGGTTCCTGTGTTTCTTGTGCAGAGAGCTGGCATGCATTTTTAAAAAAAATTCTTTATTTTTGCACTGTGAGACATAAGTTAGGCATATTCTAGAGACAGAGTAGACATATAGAGAATTCAAGGCATAATACAGTAATGGTAAGCAATGCACATATCACACTGTGGGTTTTATATAAAAGCGTTGGCACATTATAGTGAAGAGGGTTGTACTTGGTAATTTACATAGAGTGGCTCACTAGCTTCTGAGCAACATTAACGTCCCGACAGGAAAAGTTGTGCCGAGCAGCAATCATGCAAATGAAATCCTGGTAATTCCTTTTGGGGTCAAAGGCCGTTTATGGCCAATCAGATCCACAGGTGGGTGTGTGCTGAGCAGCAATCATGCACATGGAAACCTGGTAATTGCTTTTGGGGTCAAAAGTCGGTTATGGCCAATCGGATCCACAGGAGTGGTATTTAAACCCAATTCTCCTTTCACTCATTGCCCTGTCGTGGTTTCATCCTGATGGTAATCCGAAAGTATGTTCCTGATCTGGATTTTCTGTTATTTGACTTTGGCTTCATTTTGACTTCCCTGAATTCTGGTATCCTTGACTTTTGGCTTTCCCTCATCGTTGTGTCTGATTCTGTGTTCCTGACCTCGGCAAGTATTTTGACTATTCTTGGATACGTTATGTCCGGCCATTCTAAGGTCCAGTTATATGTTATCCTTAGTCCTAGGTGTGACATAGTTCTGCGTGCTGGATTAACTTGTAATCCTAACAGTTGGTTGAAGAGACTGCCTCCATGCCAAAATGCCTCTGGAGAGGTCTGCATAAAAAGCCAATGACATCTCTTCGAAGATATAAGATGATTGTCCTTTGGTGACAGCCAGGACTGCTGCTTTATCTTTATGGTTTTCAAACTGAAACACTAGGTCCCTTTAGAGCTTTAGGGATGCCTTGGCTGGTCTTGGAACTCTAAATATAAATATTCCATTCAGCGTAACCACCTTGGCCAGTTTTGGTGTCAACAAGGCCCCAAGGAGGCATCTGGCAAAGTGTGGCAGCAAAGCCTCTGGCATATTCTCTGAGATCCCCCTGATTTTCAGGTGTTTCTGATGTCGCCTATCCTCCTCGGCAGCAAATCTTTGCTCGTATGTTTGGTTCTGCTCCTGCAACTCTTTGACAGATTGTTGTAGCTTTGTAATTTGCTGAGAATTAATGCCGCATGTGCCTTCTAACACATCCAGTTGGCTTGTCAGACCCTGTAGCTCTCCATGTATTGTATCCACATCAACTGAGATTTTTTTGTTTTTAGGTGCAACAGGAGCTCCTTAGTAGCCACTATTGTCACAATTGTAAGGTCAGTTGCTGGTGGCAAAAGCTGCATTCAGGTCGGCAGTGGAAGTACCTGAGC